TCTTTTTTTTTTTTTTTTTTTTTTTTCAGTTTGGTTTATTTTGTAAGCATCTTTCTTATGTTGGTCATAAAAGTTCTCTTACAAGTGATAAACGGATCAAGGCTATTAAACTTCGCATTAAACGTTCGCATGAGTCTAGTAACAACCGCATTATTACCGTACGATGTGTGGTGTCTAGGGACATAAAACATCGGTGTATGCCTTGTACGATATTTAGGTGTATTAAATGTAATAAGAGCTAGTAATTCAGGACTGTCAATGCGGCCTCTCAGTATGTCAAAAAGCAGCCCCATATCCAGCATGTAACGTCTGTCTTGTAAGGTGAGCAAAGAATATAAGCGACAATTATCAGTGTATTTATTTTTATTGGACGTTTTATTGAATTTGTAATTTAATCTTGATAAAAATTTCTTTTGAATGGATTCCAATCTATTTATATGTATTGCATAATGTGGTGACCAAATCTGGCAAGCAAATTCCAAAATACTTCTAACGTAAGCACAATAGACAATTTTATAACTTATGATGTTTTTAAAAGGTTGACATGTACGCATAACAAATCCGAGGTTTCTATAAGATTTTTTAATAATATTATCTATGTGACTTACCAAGGTCAACTTTGAATCCAATATTACACCCAAATCACGCACCTCGTCTACTCTTTCGATTAGAACTCCGTTAAAGTTGTATTGGTAATTAATCAGTTTTCTTTTGCGGGTAAAAGATATACAATGACATTTGTTGATGTTGACCGAGATTTTATTTTTCTTGTAATACTTAAACAGTTGATTTAGGTCAGATTGAAGTTTTTCACAGTCTCGGATGGTTTTAATTTGTAAATAAATTTTTTTGTCGTCGGCATAACATAGGTGAAAGGAGCTATCAATAAATGCATGTATGTCATGTATGTACGCGTTGTATAGAAGAGGACCAAGGTGGGAGCCCTGTGGCACGCCAGAGGGGATAGAGATGTAATCTGACCTAAATCCACCCAAAACTACTGCTTGGGAGCGATTTGACAGATATGAAGATACCCATCTCAATAAATCACCATGTATGCCTAATGATTGAAGTTTTGAAAGTCATGTTGATTATTTTTTAGCACATTATATTTATTAAAAAACGATGTTAGTTTGTAATGTATAACTTTTTCATATATCTTTGATAAAACTGGTTATAATAATATTTATTCCGGTTTTTAGTATTTGCTGTTGAAGCAGCAACAGAAATACATCATCTGTGGAAATTTCAACTGTCTAGTTTTCACAGTTCAAAAGATACAGCCTGGTGACATACAGACCGACAGCGAACTCTTAGTAATAGGGTTCCAGTTTTACCCTTTGTGTATGAACTCTAAAAAACATCGAGTGCAAGTAAAATAAAGGCTATAGTAATAACCAAAAAGGACAAAACGTGCACTATTACGTTTACGAGTTGTTTTACACTTTTTAAAGTATTACTTAAGCATAGCAAGTTGCGGTCCACCGAAACAGCTCACGTACTATGTCTTACCCATCTCTCGTCATATTCACACAACATTCGCGGTGTGCAAATGAAACGTTAACACAATTTTGTAATCACATGAGCCAGTGAACCAGAAACGTGATTGATACTTTGATCTCCATTATTACACGATACTTTATTGTGTACGCATGTCACAGTGATTTGTACGAATACTAATCATTGTTCCATTTGACCCGCACACAGTGATTTGAATACAAAAAATGCATAAAACGTAAACGTTTTTTGTTACACAGGACAATGTAAGATTGAGTATAAAGACAATGTGAAATAATTGTTGGAAGCAAATAAAAATTTAAAAAAATTGTTGCCCATAAAGAATAAGTTGTATTATGGCATGGCTAAACAACATTCCCATTGTGGGGGAACTGTTCTGTGGAATATTTGTATTCTAAGAGATTCCCGGTCTTTTCAATGTAGAGAATGCACTTTTCTATGTTGTCTCGGTCTGGATGTGGTCATTTCAGATACTCTACACCTTATCTTGGAATTTGAGAAATGTATGTGATGTTGTTTAAAAATTTAAATAAAATATTTTATTTTTATGCGACTTTACTGTAGCAGAGCTAGAAAAGGCTCCAAAAAGGTTTCACATGCACAATACAATTGAAAATTGCTGGTATTAAACTGCATTTCCATAATAAAATACAATATGCGTTAATCAGCCGACGTATTAGATCTGAAACTATAAAAAATGTATAAGCTTATTTCATAATCGACTGCGTGAAAAGACGGCATTAAGTCTCAGGTACTGCCGGCTGTTGCTACATTTGAAGGCAACTTGTTCGAAACAAGGAAACGACTACAAAACTAACAAAGGCCACATATTTGAATTATACTCGGCCACGGTGTTACTTTTAAAAAAGGAAATAATGTGTTAGGGTTTTTGAGCTTGCTTCAAATATTTATTTTCTTCTGTATTTATTATTTCACGGTTCATGAGATGCAGCCTGATTATAGACGGATAGACAAACGAACGATCAGCGGAGTCGTAATAGTAGATAAATGGGTAAAACCCTTTGGCTACGTAAAACCCTAAAAATGTAAGCAAACAAACACTACCTTGTTTACAAACGTGACTGTGTATTTGCTCTAGATTGTCTTTGAGTTTTGTGCACATCAAAGAAGTATAAAAAAGCTTAGGACTATTAAAAAGTTTTAATACTTTAATGATTTTGTGTAGTTTTTGGAAAATAGAAATCAACAAAATGTGAGAAAAATCGGTAATTTATTAAAATGTAATGGGATAAAATGTCGTACCATCGTTTATTTCTTCCTAGGTTTCCGCATGCAAAGTTTTAGTGTTTGATCTTCAACATCATTTGTTTTTATTATTTACTTTTCGTAATTTGAAATTTTAAGTAATGCAATATTCTTTTCATGAAAGTCAGTCCGTGAGAATTCTTCGATTAAGAAATATTATTTATTTATTTATTCCATTTATTAAAAGCATTAACACTCATACTCACACTCATATACACAAATCAAAATTTAGTTTATACAAATAAATAAAATTGAAAATTAAAATATGCAATAAATTTAAATAAATTAAAAACAAAATATAAACCAAATCATAGCAAAAAAAAAAAAAAAATTATACACACTTACTTTCAATCAACAGCAATTTGTTGTAAAAAGTGTTAAAATCTATTTATTATTACATGTTTCCGTTATGCTCAAGAGTTTGTATTCAAGAAAAATGTATACTATATCAAATCAAATATAATAAAGTTAAATCACTTGCCAAACTCGAAGAAAAGGGTAATTGTTCTATTAACTATTTTAACATTATTATTTAGGTAATACGAACTGTTTTTATATTACTTTTTTGTTTGTCACAGTATTGTTTGTTTACCCTTTATTAAATCAAGTTCGCAGGCTTAGTCAGCCTTGTATTTGGCTAAGTACCGGTGGCGTAACTATACCGATTGAGGCCCGTGGCAAATTCATCGGATATTAATTTTTTTTTACGAATTGCATAATAATAAATGTCAGGAGTAAGGAATCTCCTCTGACCGGGGGCCCCTTCCAGCTGGGGGCCCGCCTTACTTACCACCCTGTAGTTACGCCATTGCTAAGTATCAAACCTTCACAGTTTTATTGTTTTTCACGACATTTTCACTAAATGACCGTTGGTTAAAGACAACGGTCAATCGACTGGCAAAAACAAATTTAGTCTGTGGTTTAGTTAAATATTTCGCTAATGCTTTTGTTTACTGATAATTTGAATAAACTTTATTGGTTTATAGTTATAATAAACAATTATCGAATTCTCGTTAAACAACATAACGTCATTTCGTAATGTTTCCTCGTCAGATTTAGTTATACCTTAAGTAAATCCTCGTATTATGTGATTGTGAAGCCAGTATTGCGTAACAGCCGCTGATCGACTAGGTTACGTGTAGGTCTAGACCGGGATCTAGTTTAGCTATTATAGTAGGTTATGCGCCCTACCCAACTTGTGCCATGCGTATGTTACTGCGATTTATCAAAGAAAGTATTTATATAGAGTTGTTAATTTCTTCTACAATCAATTAATAAAAAAAAATCTTTCTTGGAATCAAAAAATGTGATTTAATGACTATTATCTGACTGCCATGTTGTATAACTTATGCACTATTTGAGATGATGTAAAATTATGAACTTATTAACTGTGTATTGTAATCAAGATTCATTATGACTAAATATTTCCCAAACGTTGCTCTAATATGAGGCTGGAGTGTATCTGATAATTATGTAACTTATAAATAATAATAATATTTTTTTAAGTGATTTAAAATATCTCCTCGGCATTAATAGCAGTATACTTGAACACATCGACTACCTTTTGTTAAATCATTTCTTTCTCACTGTTCTAAATCTAGATCCGATTGAATTCTATATCATTTCTAATGCTAGATCTGATACAAGTGACATTTTGTGTAAGCCAAAACTTTCTCAAGTTCGTCATCCTAAGCGTGTAGATGATTTCCGCGCTTAAATCCAAAGATGATTTTATTTATTTTTATTTTAGGTAATGTCGAGAAGGTTCATATCGCTAGAAATGTTAAGCATCTTTCGAAATACTGGTTATCCCCATCCTGGATGGTAATTTTTTTTTATCTCTAACTCCTTGCTTCAGAAGGCTCGCTTAACCATTGATCCCGGCTGCGTCTACAAAATGGCTCGTTAAAATCCAACAATCCGCACTGGGCCTTCGTATTGGGCCATGTCCCATTCTCCCTATTGATACCACCCACAGAGAATGCCGGAGTTACAGTATGGGAACATTGACAGTTTGGTGACGATGATGATAGGTAATATCAGCTCTGTATATAAGATCAGCTTTCTTTAATACAGGGTGTAAACGGACGCCACCGGTTCCGCACCGATTCTGTCGTTCCTTGTGAAGCATGTGTGACGATATAAATAAGATTACCTATCTGCGCACGCGCACTTTCCCTAAACGCTTGTCATAGATAGCATTAACGACTTTAGTAATGGAGAAAATCAATCGAATATGTTATGTAAGTTGAAATTAATTTGTTGTGAATATTTTGATTTAAATAATTTATACTATCGTAAGAACTTCAAATATAAAATTTGGATAGCTGGAGATGAATTATCAAATAAATGCAATCGATTTTGAACCTTAATTAGACACATTTATGTTTAAAATTAATTGATGAGTTGTTAAACAGTGAAATAAATTTATACTAAACTAGCTTTCGCCAGCGGCTTCGCCCGCGTGTACCCTAGGGAAATGTGTAGTGGGATAAAAAGTATCCTATTATCTAAGTCAGGTAAAACCCTATTTGAATACCAAATTTCATCAAAATCCGTTCAGTAGTTTCGGCGTCATTGACCGACAAACATCCAAACATCCAAAAAAAGAAACTTAATAGGATAATGTAAAAAGTGCTTGTGAAAACAAAAGACTTTTGTTTGTTTCAGATATTTCTACTTGCGTATTTACACCGTTCAGAAAGTTCGGCAACGCAAGATAAACGGGAAATAGCATCAGGACAAATACCGGTTCATCACACATACTCAGAGTTCCACAGAGGCGTTCCTATACCTGTTCCTCAGCCAATACCGTTTAGTGTTCCACGACCTGTGCCGTACACCGTACCGGTAGGCGTACCGGTAATCCGCCCGCGACCTGTATTAGTACCGGTACCTCATCCTGTAGCGCATATTATACCGCGTCCAATAGCTGTGCCAATTGATAGGCCGTTTCCTTACCCAGTCGCTCATCCCGTACCGGTTACTATAACACAAGGCGTAGGAATACCTGTCCCGCAACCGTACCACATATCAGTCCCAGCACCTGTGCCAGTGAGTGTGCCGCATCCAGTGCCAGTAGCCACGGGACCTGTAGCTGCCAGTTTTGCTCTATCCGGGCCAATTTCCGGATCGGTTATATCCGAACCGGTTTCCCCAGCAATAGTCGGCACGGACACAGTAGTGACGTCAGCAGCAGAGTCTGCGCCGATCGTACAAAGCCAGTCCAGCTACGGACAAACCGTGATAGAATCACATGGTCATAATATCGAACATCCTTATTAATACTAAGATTATATCGACGCTGGAAAGCAAACACGTAGTAACCTGCAAAACCAAAAGTGTTCTTCAGAGCACAAAATCTTTTATTTCTTTTCGATAAATAATTCTTATAACCGCCAATGGTAATAAATAAGGTGTTCCTTAGTCAATTTATACGGAAATAAGATTTTAGTTTTTTAGAAAAATGTAAAGATTTTCCACTCCAAATGTCCATTTTGGTTTTGCAGGTTACTACGTGTTTGCTTTCCAGCGTCGAATTGACATCTTGTTTAAAAAAACATATACAAGTATAAAGGCCCCACCATATTATAACAATGTAGATATACGGAGTACATAGCATAAGTATATAAGTATTTATTATATTAAAAGAGCAAAATAAGAATGTTGAGATTTAAATGTAAGATGTGAAGTTACAAAGTGCTTTAAATAAGTTTACAATATTGCGAGTTATTAATTTTAATTTAAGTTATTTGTGTATAAATGTTACCGATATCGTGTGTTGTTTAATTTGTTTCATTTATGTTATGAAAATAAAATTGTTTTATGAAAATCACATCATTTTCTTATGAAAATCGTTATTCAAATATAAAGAGTTACGTCCCAGAATAATTTATCAGCCTATTCATATCTCCATCGCTAGAGGACGATCGTTCCTGCTAACCGGCATCATCATTAAGCTTAATGTCCGCATTACTGGGGAACAAGCGTCTATGGATAGTATGGCATAGAGAGAATAGGTCATGACCTACCTACCTACGCGGTGTCAGTGCGGATTGGTATCTACCAATCACCTAACCAAGATTCCAGATGCAGCCAGAACCGGCGGCTAAACGTGATTCCCGTAACATGGAGGAGGTCTAGATAATATATTTCTCGTCACCCATCCTTGTTATAATTGCTTAACTTTCGCAGCGCAGACCGCACGCAATATCCACTTCACTATCGAGGTGAATATAGTATGATATAATCGAGTCAAACTTAGGTAATATGATTAAAAACATCGAAGGGGACCCCTCAGTGTAATGGAAAATACCTATACTATAAGCTAAAAGAAAAGCATTTCATATCAATATTTTTCATTATAGCGTTGTGAATTTAAAATTGATAAAATATAATAATTAAAACAAATTTTCCATCTTTATGGAAAGTTGAAATATTTGTAAAAAATGTTTCTTTCGGCTGTTTGGGTGGATTGACTGAACATTGATGAAAATATGCTCTGTACCAGCGAAAAAGTGACAAGTGCTTGAAAAATTCGTCAGTCACCAGGATTACGAAAGCTCATGGGTTCGAGTCCCATCTCAGGGTACCAGGGCAAAGTGGATTTTGCTAAGCATTTTCATTATAGCATTGTAAATACAAAATTAATTAACTATAATAAGAATTATCTTTTCGATATTTGATGTGTTGTAATAAAAGTAGGAAAACATTAATATTACTGAACTGCTATTTACAAAATAAGGCAAGTTGGTCCTCTAATCTCATCCGCCACGGACACTGGCGAACAATGATTTTACTATCACCCCTGTATTAAAATTTTTGATAATGTCCTGATAAATACATTATCTAGTGTGTGATTACAAGTCCGACTGATAAACGATATTATCGCTCCATTCGAACGGAACAACACAGACAAATTCACGCGACTAAAAAAAAGGAATTTACAAAAGAGTTCTTATTAGTGCCAATGATTTGAAGTGTAAAAAGGATTATTGTTTTTAAAAAAAAGGAAGATTTACTGTTTTAGAATGTCTGGATATATGACGAGTAAGTTTAAAAATAGCTATTTGCAATTTGCATGTAACATTCTAGGTATATTTTTATTTCCTTAGGATCATTAAGCGTTTAGGTTTGTATGACTAACGAGACGATGATTCATTTCTTTGTTCCAAGAACATTAAAAAATATATATATTTTAAAATTTATAAATAAATATAAAATTTCTCATTTCTCCATCAATAACGAGTACTGTATTTTTTTTATTGGTAATACTTATAAGAGTTTATTTTTTTTATTTTTATCAATTTATGGTTACAGATTTTCAGTTTTCAATGGACAATATACCAAGGCAAAGGAGTTTCGCGTGTCTTTCACTAAAATTCGGATGTATTCTAACCGGCTTAATTGTTATTGTAAGTAAGATGTTTTGATTATAAAATATCGAATCTGGAAGAAAATTGTGGAGAAAAATTTGGACGAAACCGATTTAATGAAGCACATTTTGTTAATTTATAAATCTATCAATTTATTTTTCTAACGTGTATCTATGTATCTGATAATTTCAAGGAGCTCTCAATAATATAAAGTCTTTTACCAACATTACTATAGTGTGCAATAAACAAAAATACCAGGCAACTACCAGGGATCCAGATCTCAATAGTGTATTTCTACGAAGGGAATGTTGCTCCAAGTTATTGAAGCAATGATCAAGATTTTGAATATCAGTAGACCTCATGGTCTACTGAGAAAATGTGACGTCACAACTATCTTAGAGTTGTGAGTTAGAAAGTTGTTCTTTTTTGTCTCAAATTAATAGAACAACTTATATAATCTTTTTGAAGTTGATATGAATTAATAATAATAATAATAGTACTTTATTATCTCCAAAATTTACATGAAAGAACATCATGGTATCTCCTTTTAAGTACATATAATATTAGATCCTTACATATGAATTTGGTGTTTGGTATGGGTGGAACAAAAAGTCGAATATTTTTTAATATAATATATTTATTTAATCAAAGTATAAACCATTGTTATCTATGCACTTTTGCCATCTCATGATCCCCTTACTAAAAAACCATTCGGACTGGAATCAATAAAATCTTTGAAGGCGTTTTGCATTGCCCCATTGGAATTGAATTTTTTCCCTTGCAAGAAGTTATCCAAATTTCCAAAAAAAATGTAATCTATTGGAGCAAGGTCCGGGGAGTACGGTGGATGATTTAGACATTCCAATTGAAGCTCTTCTAATTTGGTAGCCGTCTGTTGTGCAGTGTGTGGTCTAGAGTTGTCGTGAAGTAGCAGTGGCGTAGAGCGATTGACCAGCCTCGGTTGTTTAACAGCATGGTTTGCAATTGCTGACAATAGACGTCTGCCGTAATCGTCATGCCAGATTTGAGAAAACTGTAATGAACGACACCGGCACTAGTCCACCAAACGCTTACAAGTAACATTTTTAGGGTCAACTTCGCTTGGGGCAGAATTTGATTGGTATGCGAAGGTCCAACCATTGCGATGAGCACTTCCGATTGTCGTAGAGCATCCACTTTTCATCACAGGTTAAAAACCCTTCAATATTGTACCAGTTAAGTAATGTAACGCAACAGTCGAAGAGCGTTTGCCGGTTTGCTTCACTCAATTCGTGAGGTACCCACCTTTCAAGCTTTTTAATCTTTCCAATTTGCTTCAAGTGGATTAAAATAGTTTTATCACCAACACCGCAGCCTGCAGCTAACTCGAACGTGGTTTGCGACGAATCCGCTTCCACAATAGCCTTCAATTTTTCATTATTAACTTGGGTCTCCGGCCTTCCACGGGGCTTGTTTTGCAGGTCGAAATTTCCAGAACGAAAACGTTGAAATCAAAAACGCACTGTGTTTTCTTTTGCGACACAATCGCCATACACATCATTAACCCTTCGAGCCGTTTCCGCAGCACTGGTACCACGTTGGAATTCGTACTCGTAAATAACACGATATTTTAAATTTTCCATTTTTTATACTGGGTGACGTAAATAGAAGAAAAAAAAAACAAATGAATGCTGCTTAACGAAACACAAATACATGTGTAAATAAATGGCTGTATAAATTTGAATTTGGAATTCCTAACCAAGGAGGAGAAATTTGTGATTAAAGTGGCCAGTACGACAAAACGCTTATTTCATATGTAAGGACCTAATATATAGTGTATCAAGAGGCCACCGCCCTTTCAGTCGTTATATAGGAATATACTTATAAATGTTATGACAAAATTTGGAAAGAAAGATACAATTGCATTATTGATTCAATAAGGAAAACAATATGAAGATCACTATTTAATGCCTTTCCTACTAAGTGCGTGTGCCTTTATCAGTATGTTTATGTGTGAGTGCGAGTTACTGTATGCGTGTGTGTGAGTGTATGTATTATATCTATATAATGACCACTTGGAATTGATTTATAACCACTTATTGTAGTGAAATCATTGACACGCTGCTATAAATTTCTTATCGAAACACAACTTAAATATTTTATACTTATTTTATATAATCATGGAATAATTTGAAGAAAATCGATTCCCATTTTGTCCTATTCACATCAGTGATCAGAGAAGCAAAAGCTAGTATATTGTAACTTTTAAGACCAAATTTAAGGATTAACTAATGAGCATTCAAATATTAAAATAGCTGTGTCCACTAATGTTGGTTCTAATCATATAATTGTTGCTATTGCTTTATTGAAATTATTAATTTGTCTTCACAAGTTTTTCAATCTTATTCGATTATTTTAATTATATTACTGTAAAGCTTGTAAGTTGATGAATCGGACAATAACTTTATATGTGAATCTTCTAAATTGAATGTTATTGTATGTGGTGCTATTCGTGCTCCTCCTTATTTTATATTATTTAGTTTATTTATTTACTAAGGTATCCGCTGAAAATCAGCGCCGCAGCTTAAACACTGCGGCATATTGCTGAGCGGAGACCTTTTTAGTACCTAATTTTAAATGATCTATTAGCATACTATTAATGTTCATCATCATCAGCCCTTTTACGTCCCCCCTGCAGGGGCTCAGGCCTTCCTTATGGATGGTTAAGGAGGATGGGCCATGACCATCCACGCTGGCCCAATGGGGATTGGAGGGTATTAACGACTGCAAATGCAGCTGGGACCAACGGCTTAACGTGCCTTCCGAAGCACGGAGTAGCTTGAGTTAATAATTTTTTGGTCACCCATCCCGTGACGGACCCTTGCGAAAGTTGCTTAACGTCTAAGATCGTGGGCCGCGGCGCTTATCTACTACGCCACCGAGCTACTCAATATTAATGTTATGTACTTGTAATTTGGTGCTAAATAAATATACTTCTTAATATAATAGGTCTAATATATGTATATATAATGACTTCTAAATATATATATTAGACCTATTATATTTAGAAGTCATTTCTTGTCAATACCAATAAACCTGTGAATCATATAGAGCTTTGATTCGAATCAATGAATGCTAATTTTTGATTCGAATTAATAAATGCTAATTATTAATGCTATGATATATGATTGCAGCTATATTCCGTGTTAGCGTTAGCACAATGCATGGCAGCACTAAGTGTATTGCCGTCCCAGCTAGATCCATCAGATCCGGGCAGTTTGGCTATGTACGCAATTGTGATAGTTGTCACTATCACACACGCTGTCACGCTATTCCTTAGTACCGTTTTGCTGATTGGCGCTATCCGGGTAAGGTTTTAACATGAGTTTAATTAGTGAGTGAGTTCTATTCATCATATATCATCGTCATCTTATTAAATATCCTCAAAATATACTTAGGGACTTTTAGTTATCAACGCACTGCAGCCTAATTATTTCATTACATTATCGTAATTCCATTTCAATCCCAAAAGAATAGCTTTTGTGTTAGCGTTTAATGGAACCATGTTATTTTTAAAGTCGCTTTAGGAACTATTGATGAATTATATGAGAGCTTTATTAACTTTTAAAGATATTTGCGTCTTATGCTTGCCTTAAACAATTCCAATAACCATTTAATCAATGATATCTTTCAAGGAAGTTTCTGAATTATTTACAAATATGAAATTGAATTAGAGAATTAGCTTCCAAGTCTATTTATTTAATGTTGTGCTAACGATTGCGCAAGTCAGTCGAGACCAGTAGCTTGAGAATAGGGATAATGACTGGGTAAAAAAAATGCAATTCTATTTAGTCCGTCAGTTGGATAATAGAAAAATATTAGATACGTATTTTTTTTAACTTCAATTTAACAAGAAATAGCTTAGATAACAGGCATTAAAGTTGAGGAGTGGGGGCTCGCCACAGTTGAGTAGAAAACGTACCCTAATGTGACGTCATGTGAAATTTCAACTCAATGTAACGCCGTAATTTTATGATTACGAAAAAAATAAAAAAATACGTGTTTAATATTTTTTAACACTCTACCTGACGGACAAACAAACAAACATTAGTCATCATCCCTATGGGTGAAATGTCAAAAGACTGTCCACGTTCATGATACCGACAAAGAATAGCGAATTGCGCGGTGTAACTAGTGTTATTTATTTTCTCGGAAACTATTATGAATATTGTAAAATTGCTGCAGGATTCCCTTGGTTAAAAAAGTGACACGCATGAATATTTTGTTGAAAGGTAAATTAATTTACCCTTTAACAAAATTATAAGAACATATAAAAGGTAGTTACTTTAAGAAGTTACATTGTAATCTATACTAATATTATAAAGCTGAAGAGTTTGTTTGTTTGAACGCGCTAACCTCAGGAACTACTGGTTCCAATTGAAAAAATATTTTTGTGTTGAATAGACCATTCATCGAGGAAATCTTTAGGTTATAACATCACGCTGCAACATTACAAATTAGGAGCGAGGAAATAATGGAAAACGCGGACGAAGTCGTTGTTTTTTATATGTTTTTTTTACTAGTTTTTTATATAGAGAATTTTAAAAATTCACATTTAGACTGTGACAGAACCCTTTAGCAAATATATTGTAGTTATTTCTAATTTTTAGTTATTTAGATGTTATTTCTTTGTAGAAAACCAGTTGAAAGTAGAAGTAATATTATGAGATATACCTCTAATTATTTTTAAACAAATAACTTGCTTTCGCCAAAGTGGCTCTACATCCACAATTGGAGGTCAAATATATATTTTTGTTTATATAATCTTCCCCCAGTATATAATTACTGCTTTGATAATTTATGTTTAGAATAAAAGCACGACGGGACATGCATGACAGGCAAAGATGGTCGGAAATATAGCCGTCACATCTTACGGGGTTAATCCCGAATCATTGTAGAAAATTCTTCTACACCTATGCGTTCATCATAGATCATAGATAGAAAACCAATAAATGTATATACTGGTATTTTATTTTTTCACCCGCACTACACATTAAATGAATTTAATAAAGGAATTATTTTTTTATTTTATTTATTTTTAGGAAAAAGCGTTCTTAGTAAGGCCATGGGTTATCTGGATGTCGATGCAAGTGATGGTTTTGTTGCTGTTGTTCGTCTTCTGGAGCACCATGAACATGATTAATCACTACGACATCTCCCTGGTGGTCTACGTGGTCGAGTTCCTTGGACTGTGTGAGTATAGATGTTATAGCCAGGGCCGGATTAGTCACGTAGCAAAAGTAGCAAAGGAGCCTCGCTTTGGTTCAGAGCCGATTAATTATTTTTGCAAGTCAGTGTTAAATAATGCATGAAATAAAATAAGCAACGCTTCTGACTAGTCATATTTTTAAGTATGATCATAAACTGACAAATATAACTCAAGTCACAGATTAGTTGTGGTGTTATTCGGAAAGCAATAGACGAAATTCTGTTTCTGCGGCGGTGGGTGGGGGGATTGCTACGGGCCCCGCTCTGGCTTAATTCGGCACTGGTAATAGCGTCTATTTTTGATTTTATAAATCTTGATTGAACATCGCTTACAGATTTATTCATTTAATGCTTTATGTACATATATACCTGAGGCATTCTCTGCTATGATGTGGGGGAAGTAGGTACACAATTAAAATAAAGAAGTTTTGTTGATACCAACTACTTTTCTCTCGACAGATGTTCATAGCTGTTTCAAGTTGTGTTCTAATTCAAACAGAATGAGATATTTAATTAGTAATTAATGATTAATTTTATAATACTCAAAATGAAGACTATACTGTAACAGATTTTGCATGTATTAAAGAATCAGTTTACCTCGTTCTAAGATAGATACGTAAATAAGTGAGCTATCCCAAATAAGTGGAGAACAGATCGCTTCTCAGATTTTGGTTTCGAATTTTTTCATGATCAGTTTGTCCCTAATAATTAAGGTGAACATTAGAGAACACCAAATACGGTAAAATCATATTTATAATTGGTTAGAAAAATTATAAAATTTAATTTTCGTTTCAGTGATACGTTTCTACATGTTGATGATAGTGAATAGTTTCTACAAACAGCTAGAAGAAGAAGCAGAGGAAAGCAAGAGTCTTGTAAAATTGATAAACAACGATTCGTGGTATACAGTGTAGATATATCAGTCGATAAGAAATATTAAAAAACACAATTATTATTAAAATTGAAAAATAATACACGAAACTTTAATTGTAGTCGGGTGTAGGTTTTTAATATTAACTAATCGACTTCAATAGAAGATTTCTAAATATATTTTTCCTATTTTAATAAACTATTTTTGAAGTCGGTTTTTATGTTATTTTTTAAAGTTTTTTTTTTTTTGGATATTTTTTATTTTTCTTTTCTCGTTTTTTCATTAGTTTATGTCTACAAAAGTAGTGAACTAAGATTTTTTTGTTCAAACAGCCAGTCTTGCTCTGTACGTGCTATTATCTGTGAATAGACTGATTATCCAATACCGAATTATGGTTAGGAACTATTTATTTAATTGTAATTTTTTTTATTTATTGTTAATTCGGAAGCTCTTCTAACATTGTCTATTATTGTAATGCGGTAGCATTTTGTTTTAATTCACACGTGTGTCTTTGGAATTTGAGTCTGCATCAATATCTCATATTGTTTAAATCAATTTGATATATGTAAATCTATTTATTGTTATAATAAATACTTTTTTGGTATTTACATTTGTTTTGCTGTCCTTATTGATATAATAGGTCGTAGTTGCCTATATATTGATGTTCTTTAATAATGAGGAAGTATTAAAAAAACGAAAGCACTTAAATAGCACCTCCACTAGATGGCGGCTCTAGCAAAAGTTGATTTTTGCAGGAAACGCATGGACCAAAGACAGTCATTTCCGTTCCTTTTAACTAACATATTAAAAAATTGAAATTTAAAAAGTTTGAAACTTAGATATCAATACAAATACGAAAAAGTACAAATAGAATACGAGTTGTTTATTGAGTTTTGAAAACTAATTTACTTTGAAACATTAAAGAAAAACCGGAAAGGTTGTCATGGAGAAATCAAGAACGTACCGTAGCGACATCTAGTTTGATTTCGGGAACTAATGTTTTTTTAAATACTTCCTCATTGGAATATATTAAAAAGACTTAAAATATTCAGATGTTTAGTAATTTTATCTAAATTTAGTACTCATCGTGTATTTTGTGAAAACAGATAAAATTAATTATGATTAATGAACTAAAGATATATCGCAGACTTTTTAAAAATGCATTCGTTATTAATACCTCCGTAGCCGAGTGGTTCACACGCTGGTTTCAAGGTGTCGCCACCTCTGAGGTCCCGGGTTCGATTCCCGGTCGGGTCAATGTAGAAAATGAACTTTTCTATATTGACTCGGGTCTGGGTGTTGTGGTACCTTCGTTGTCTCAGATACTCCATAATACGGGGGCTTTAGCTACTCATCTTGGAATCTGAGCAATGTATGTGATGTTGTTAAATATTTATTTATTTATTTATAATTTATCTTAACTATATAGAAACCGAGGTGCTCGATGGCTCAGTGGATAGCGTGTTTGGTCTGCATGTCAGAAGTTAAGCAACTTTCGCAAGGACGGTCGTAAGATGGGTGACCAAAAAAAAATTCTTACGTAATTCGGAAGGCACGTTAAGCCGTTGGTCCCGGCTGTATCTGCAATCGATAACACCTACAAATCCGCACTGGGCCCGCGCATGGCTCATTCTCTCTATTCGACTCATCCATGAGGAAGGCCAGCAATGGGATATTAATAGGCTGACCATGAAACGGGATGGGTGACCAAAAAATTATTATCTCGAGCTACTCCGTGCTTCAGAAGGCGCATTAACCCGTTGGTCCCGGCTGCATTTGTAGTTGTTAATACCCGCCAATCCGCATTGGGCCAGCGTGTAGGGTCATGGCCCATGCTCCTTAACCATCCTCGAGGAAGACCTGAGCCCCTGCAGTGGGGACGAAATAAAGGGTTGATGATGATGATGAATATGAAAAACCAATAGCCTCCATTTTCTAATTATTCCTTTATTTGGCATAACATTCGTAAATATCTATTACAATGGTAACCTTTTCATCTATAAAATAAGTATCTAACTATTTACAAAACAGTTTCATCCTATCCTCCTTAATATACTATAGTAAATTTATAAAAAAATAAACTATCATAATTATACTAATACACACATTACTGACTTACTAAATATTAATTTTTAACTGAAATTTTATAATAAAAATAATATTTTGTTTTTTCTTATTAAGGCACATAAATTAGCACCACAATTTATATATTGCCTTTCTTTTTACCTAAGGCAATAACATAGTTACATTTACCCTATGACATAAAAATGTAAAGGTCATTTGGAGAAGTGGCGTAACTACATGGTGGCAAGTTGGCAAAATGTCACAGGCCTCCTGCTGGAAGGGGCCCTCGGTCATAGTCCTTACACCTGACATTTAATATTATACAATTAGTAAAAAAAAATTTGCCACGGGCCTCCAACGGTATTGTTACGCCACTGAGTTGGAGCTAAAGATTTTTTTGTAATATTTTTGTTTACATGACGCATGGCCAATTATCTTTTTTATCTTTAATTGCAGTACAGTAGAATCACTTTTATAAGTTGCTTGTTAGAAACTGCGAAGAAACTTAATGTTGAGAGGTTATAAAATTTCATATAACTCTATTAAATTCAAATTCAATCAAAGTTGGAGTTGTCGCGTAAGATTGCATGTGCATAGAATTGATTTTGTCTTCAGATAGTAAAAGATCTCGGCCAAATATACAATGAGGAAGTATTAAAAAAAAGTTAGTTCCCGAGATCAAACTAGATGTCGCTACGGTACTTTCTTGGTTTCTCCATGACAAACCTCTCGGTATAAAAGCAAATTAATTTTTAAAACTCAATAAACAACTCATATTCTATTTGTACTTTTTCGTATTCGTATTAATATCTAAGTTTCGAACTTTGCAAATTTCAGTTTTTTAATATGTTAGTTTAATGGAATGGAAATGACTACCTTTGGTCAATTCGTTTCCTGGAAAAATCAACTTTTGCTAGAGTCGCCATCTAGTGAGGTGCTTTTTTAGTGCTTTCTTTTTTTAAAATACTTCCTCGTTGCTGGAAATATTTATTATATACCTATTTTTTACAGAATATATCATCTGTGAAAATTTTAAATGTGTAGCTATCGCGGTTCGTGAGATACAGAGGAACAGACAGACGGACAATGGAATTTTAGACTTAGAGAATACTAATAATGGATCCCGCTTTAAGCCTTTGCGTACGGATAAAGACTTTCAAAATAGCAAGATAAAAGTTGCGTGTTAGACCAGTCGGGTAGTTAGTGTGTTGAGTGACAGAGATTGCACTCTACGAAGTCAAAATTAGCTTTACCAAATGAATAATAAATTTATCATCGGACACTGTAAACAGTACTAATTTACATACATAACAAAGACAATAAATGATGATGTTATGATTTAACACCACCTCGGTATCTAACACAAAATTATCGAGTACGAATCCTATCGGGCCCTTAATATATTAATATATCTGTTTTTTTATTCTGTCCAGGTTTGCCAGTTTTTATTAGAAGAAATAAAGCGTATTTGATTTCAAAGGAGATACAAATGGACTATAAAACATTTATATAAAATTTAAAAATGGTTTTAATTTGATACTTTTCTGGTTATTATAATATGTATGCATCATACTTGCATTACTATCACCATAAATATAATGTGTATAAAGGGTGTTTTAGCATATTTTATTAATAATACTCTATTTTAGAGTACGGTTGACAACCTTAATTCTGTGGTGACATCTACGTCGGTATAGGGAAATAAAATTTCCATTGAAAATATTTGACATTTCAAACTTGTGCTAGATATGGATACAATACTCACTCAATTTCTTTTGCTTAAGTTACTCTCATTTGTTCTCTTTAAACCTAATCTTAAGTAACTATAGTATTAAGCAAATTCATGTTATTATTTTAACATAGAAAATAATCATACTGAGATCTTTTACATCTCTAGTAAAAAAATATATTAACTATAAATGAATGAGTTTTAATTTATTAAAAACAACATCTAGGCGCTTCTTACTAGGTATATGATATTGCGTAACCAACTTCAAGTCCTCTGAGGGTTGCACTACTCCTCTAGTAACATAGTATTGTATTATTCCGTTATCCTATACTTTTCTATCACTCAGAAGCATCACTTGTTAGAGCGAATAAGTGTTGCCTATGGCCCCGAGGATTTCACGGCGTTTTGTCCATGGGCGATGGTAATCACTTACCATCAGGTGATACGCCTGCCCGTCTGCCCCCTATCCCATAAAAAAAACCTGCTATTTTGAGCGACAGAAATCGCTGGAAAAAGTCGGAAAAAGCGCTGCAAATGTAGTGCATCCCTAACATTGCCGTAATTATAGCACTTTAAGTAATTTTCTTTTCCATTTCTCTTGCTCAAAAAGTCCGTTATTATAGCGTGTCAAAATGAGGTTCCAATAGCATGTCCTGTTCCAAGAATCTTTTTGTTATTTTATTTATATCTCTGATTTTTTACTCACGACGATCTGGCTGATCTTAGAGAATAAAATGGGCTAACGTTAAGATATTTACAAGAAAGTTTCGTGGTAGAGCCGCTCTTAGTAAAAACTTTGGGATAAACAGAAAAAGTACGCTTTAGAAGAACTGGATAATAATCATGTAAATACTGTCAAAATACTGACATCTTATTATGATTTACCGCTTTTTGTAAAAACGACTCACTAATATATATATAAAATTATATAAAGTGTAAGTTACATGTGGTTCGCGTCACGTGGCGAGTATGTACAGTCAATTGCACGTCAGACTATACAAAACTCTTCAAATTTCGCCACCCGGTTTTAAACTTTAATATATTAAATAGAAATCTCCAAACGCCGCGCGCGGATATCATTGACCAATGTAAATACGCCTTTATTTATAGTCAGTACAATTTTTTTCTACGTTTCATTATTGTTATATTTTTTATGTTCATAATTACCTTATTATTAATAAGGTATTGTGTCAAAACAACACACGGTTTAGGCGACTGTATTGCCGTCTTGTTTACTCCTTCAGGAAGCGAGAGGGCAACGCGCCCATGCGCGTTCGGACTGTGTCACAGTGTTATTTTTTCTTCTTCTTTATATCCGATTGAAAAAAATGTTTATATGATTTACATTAACGAACATATTTTCAAAATTGGTGTACTGATTACAATTCTTACGATATAACATTACTATTTACATCATAACTATTCTTTGTACGTATTTAAGACATCGTAATTATAAACGGTCAGCTACTCTCTTTATAACTAAACTATAAACAATTAAGGCTTTAAATATATCAGATTTTTTTTTTCTTTTTGTAGTTACTTGACGTGTTGTCGACTGCACATATCTAGACGGGATCCCTCTCGCGTACGTATTTGACTGTGTCGTCTCGTTGCATTTTTGTCACTGAGCTCCAAATTAATATCGCCAGGTAGATTTGCCACACTGTAAAATTAGTTCGTTTTTAATAACAATTTTAGTATAAAAAAAAGAATGTTCTTAAAAAAACATCAAGGAGGCCGAGATGGTGTCCGAGTTCCAGTGGCGTAACTACAGGGTAGCAAGTCAGCAAAATGCCACGGGGCCCCAGCTGAAAGGGGCCCCCGGTCAGAGGAGACTCTTTACTCCTGATATTTATTATTACGCAATTAGTAACAAAAATTGAATATCCGATTAATTTGCCACGAATCTCAAACGGTGTAGTTACGCCACTATCGAGTTTATAAAGTTTTGCAATCCAGGCGAATATATTTTAGTATTTTTGTACAAGGTCAACGTGTCTGTTAACAACAAAAGTGGAAAAAATATTTTTAAGACAAAGAGTACAACAGATTCTTGACAAAGACAAATTCCCGCCGTAGATTCATGAACCGATGGCATAGAGTTTTCATATTCACGAGTGCTTGTAATAGCCTAACTTAATAGGAACGTAAAAGGGTTGACGATAAAAACAGTCAATGCAAATATTTCATTGATTTTGAATTAACTTTGGAGACTCGGTCATTGAAAGACATTTAAAGCAGATGATTCACTTACTCAGTTGAAACAGTATTAGGAACAATTCACTGGCAGTTTCCTTGTTGATGAACACGATCCCATACACAAACCCGATGGCGGAGTATATAATCTCGAAGTACAGATATATCTTCATCAACAGTACGTGTTTCTGGAATTAATAAAAATTTATACAATAACTAGCTTCTCGCCAGCTGCTTCGCCCGCATGCTTGATCGATAGATCGATTTATATCATGACACGGATATTATTACAAAGACAAATTAAATAGTGAACAATGGTTGTTATGTCATCTTATTTTTCAATCTCTTATACAAAATTTCGCTCCCATTTTCATCCATTTATTTGCTGTTTTCGGGACAAAACATAGCCTACGTTTACCGTATATGATGTAGCTTCCCGTAGGTAAAAGAATTTTTAAAATCGCTCCAGTAGGTTCACAGTCTATTCTTTGTAAACAAACAAATCTCTTCTCTTTATAATATTAGTTTAGATATAACTTTAATTACAAGTTAATAAAGCAGTTCAATTTTATTTATTAAGTTGGAGAGCGAAGTTTTCATTAGTTTTGAACATAAATAATTGGTGCTAATTATCTTCGTAATTTGGATAGTATATTTATTAATGTTGTTTGTTTAAGTTTTCTAAACCATTCTGAATATTGTTGTTAATCGAGTTTATTTTAGATTTGCTATTTTCCTGCGACTTCGACTGCGCATATTAAAATAGCACTCGCGCTGTAAGTTCGGAGCTTATTCAATCCAAACCAGCAATCAAAGCTTTACTCTTTCTAATATTATTATATTTTAGATAGATAAGGGATTTCGTACTTGGTAATCTTAAGAATCATCATCAATCACCAAGTCACCTGTGATCAACAGCTAGCGAACAATTCTATTTTATCTTTTAGATAATTATTGGTAAACAAAACTTCTGTACATCAGAGCCAACTGGTCGGATGTCCATTTTTTATATTTTGCAGAAGGAATTTAATCTTTTAAACGTTCATTACTTTTACTATTAATTTTACGAAAAATCTGAATGACTTTTTAATTGTGATTGCTTTTATGCCATACTAGTTCTTACGTATTCTAAAAAAAACAACGCAATTTAATCTTAATTCTGAAAAAGGAGTAACATCCGACCTCCGACCTAAATAATGAAGGAATTTTCTTTTGACATGGTTTGATAATAACATCCGCTGTTTTGATTCCAGATAATAAATAATTCTAGGCCTTATATGTAGATCCGACTAAATGATTCGAAAACAAACATAAATACATTTCCGACTTTTCATAGAATATTAAAAATTGTAATATAACAAATAAAAAAAAAACGCAAGAAGGAACCAGTGTATTCATCAATAATAAATACAATGTATCAAATAGTTAGGTGTATTAAATAAAATGTAATGGCACATTAATTCTCATTTGAATTCAGTTAATTCTTCTTAAAACCACGCAATTGGTCAAAATACAATTTACCATCTCAAAAATGGCGTTTATGAAAATCGTAATTTCAAAGGTTACATTTCAAAGTATATAAGGGTTATGATATACAACGTGTAACAGAAATAACGTACATCCTTATACACCCCAATTAGAAAATGCATTTATAATCATAAATCGAAAATTGGAATTTTACTTTTATTTATCAAATATGGCTATACTTAATGCTGCTGGGTAACAGTGTGGACATCTTACAAATCCACAAAATGATGTCAAAGTAACGACTTAGCCTGCAACTACAAATGGATCTCCCGGATCCGTTTTACTACTTTGTTAAAATACACCATTTATCACAGCTGGTGAGACCATTAGAGGTTCAATTAAATAAAACCTACTTAAAAGATAATTAAGGTATTATTGGGTTCAATCTTTAATACCGTGATTTTTTAACAGTACCTATATGGCACTGGTTTTGTTTTCGACATGCGCCAGTAATTTCTATGGAAGTCACCTAATTCAATGTCGCATCACATAACCTATTGTAGATCTAGAGCTCGTGTCAAAAATGTGCAAGAACTTCTAAAGCTTCATATATCAGTATGTAAAGCCACCATTAGGTATATCAGCATTTGAGCTCTGCACCGGATATTGAGTGATATACACACTTAGTACTTCAACTTATTGAAATATCATGCTTTAGAAAGCTATTACATAAGTACGACCTCTTAGACTATTACTGCAGAATATGGCTGAAAGTTATTTTAGAATAATATCCGTATACATACCCTATGTAGTCCCACAATGAACACTAAAGACATGACTATTTCTATGCATAATGCGGTGGTGTCGACGATCAGGCGTGGGTACTCCGCCGCCAGCTCCGGCACATCAGAATCCTTCACTATAGACACGTACAGCGACAGGAGACCGGTCACAGCCAACGTTAGTACCTTGAAAATGAGTAATGAGGTTGCATCAGATAGAAGTTCAAGCAAAGCAAAACATCCAAGAGGGAATTTTGGAACTTAACTAGAGCTAGGCAGGTTAACAATTCAGGGCGGGCCGAAATGGGGACGAACCGCGCGGTGTATTGTCTCCGGGCCGATCCCGTGCATCGCCTTCCATGCGAGGGACATCGCTGAGTTTTAGTGGGTAAACTCCTGTTTCTTGTCTAGCCCCTTCGGGGGTGGGGCCACAGGAGGAGTCCCACATAACCTGTGATACCCGCGCTGGGTGTACCGCGTATGCGTAACGCATTTCTCAGCGTCAAAAAAAAGGCAGGTTAACAACACCCAGCATCTTATAAAGTACATCCGCCATATTGCGCTTTACGGTTTTTCTATTACTCTAAAAACAATAATAATAATCTTAATATTTTACGATTAATAATTATAAATAGTGTTTGTTCCGCAATGAGGCATCCTCGGTATAGATTCACGCTCATCTCATCTTCCACAAGAGAGTGCACCATAGGGTTTTAGTGCGTAGGCTTCCGGGAAACCATTTGGTAGCTTACTGCGGGTTGGGTCCACGGAAGAGAGTTCCACATACTCCCTATTGCTGGCCTGGTGACAAGGACAGCGCAAAAAGCATGCCCTGGACGTTAACAACAAAAAGTCTTCACGGCCAGCCTTAAAGGAACTAATAAAAAACCAAGCAATACTAAAAAACGTAAAGGCTTATGAAAAAGATGTCAGTGGATTCTTCGAGAATTCTTCTTCTTCTAAAGGTGTCTCTCCAACTAGTGAAGGTTAGCTATTAGCATGTTCAGGTCCTTCTTGTCTTTAGCTCGGCGGAACAGCTCAGCAGCGCTTGCTATCCCGGTCCACTCTCGGATGTTCCGCAACCACGACTTCTTCCTTCCTCCGACTTTTCTCTTTCCCGCAACTTTGCCCATCATGATCAGCTGCAGGAGATCATATCTCTGATGTCTAAGAACATGGCCCAAATACGAGACTTTACGCCGTTTAACAGTTGCCATAAGCGTGCGTTTTTGGCCAACTCGTTGAAGAACTCGGACATTGGTCACCTTCTCGGTCCAGCTTATAGAGAGCATGCGCCTATAAGTCCACATCTCGAAAGCTTCTATGCGTTTTCGTAGATCTTCTTTAAGGGTCCATGCCTCACATCCATATAATACCAGGGGCCAGATATAACAATGGAGCAAACGAGTTCGTAAAGAGATGTTAATATTACGATTACAGAGGACTTTCTTCATCGAATTGAAGGCATTACGCGCTATTTCGATCCGAGTTTTTATCTCTAACTCGCTGCTCCAATCCTCATTCAGCCATGTGCCCAAATATTTATATTTCTTGACCCTTTCTAGGTTTTGGCCGGATACCCTTATGCTGGCATTGCAGTCTGCTTTTCCGGAGATGACCATAAATTTCGTCTTCTTTAAGTTCATTGAAAGACCGGCTCCCTGACTGCATTCCTCTAATCTCTCAACCATTACTTGAAGATCAGCTGATGTGGACGCTATTAAGACTGTGTCGTCCGCGTAACGAAGGTTATTAATATTACGGCCGTTGATCTTCACTCCACAGTCGAGGTCCAGCAACGCTTCCATTATTATAGCTTCAGAGTATATGTTGAAAAGAATAGGTGATAGAATACAGCCCTGTCTAACCCCTCTTTGGATAACAACTTCATTGGTTTCATCCCGTTCCACTCTTACAGTGGCCACTTGACCACGATACAGGTCCTGAATAAATCTGTGATCTTTGTCATCGATACCTACTTCTTTTAATAGGTCTAGCAAGATTGTCTTCGAGAATACAACAAGATCATTGATTGTAAAAATTAAAATACCTACCGGTTTCTTATAAGTAGTTTTATTTCATTAAGATACCTATTCATTATTAGATACTCTAGTAAATCTAGTCGAACAAGTGCTTTTTCATCTTGTGATAACGTCATCGAATATTTCAATTAAAAAAAGAAACTCAAAGCGAAGATGCACTTTAAATAATGTTATGAATTAGTTCGAACAAGGATTTTTACAGAAATTCTGATTATGACGCGGTTTATTTACTGATACATTTTGTTTAACGGCCGATGAAGAATGTAATGAACGAAATACAGTTATAATTGTTCATCGTTGTATATTAAAATCTAACTTTAATAAAACAATGATCGACTAATGAGAGACATCTCCCAAACGCCACATGTGGATGCAATCGACCAGTGTAAATACACCATTAATGCCGTAATATAAAACACATCATGATGTAGTTAACAATACCTATATGCAGGTAGATATCGTATATGTAATGAGTTAGGCAACTGTTTCATCGACTATGCTAATTTAGTTTATATACGTTTTTATGATACCATAAAATAGTCAATAGGACTCTTCTGTATGATGTAAAGTCACCAATGAGTTTTTTATCGGTTCTCTTCAGCACAAGCCGAAAATTTGTGACAAAAATAGTAGTTTTTCTAAATTCACTAGTGCTCGTAACATCGTGGACGGTGAAAACGATGTTGAATTTGGATTTAAAATAAATAAGACAGAGAAATATGAAGTACATTGTATTTCACAATATATTGATGATGGTTTTAAGTACTTTGGTTGCGCGCGCTTGCATTTCCTTAATTTTGTTATTTAAAACTCGTTTATTTGAAAAGGTGAATGTAACAAAACAATTTTAAGTTTTCAAGATCAGTGTTTTTCTTTTGTTGTGGATTTGAATTTTTTTTTTTGGTTTTAATCGTTAGCTATGCTACAAAAAGTTTTTTCTAAAATTTTATTTATTAATTTGAACAACTTACTAATAATAAGAAGTTTATAGACCAAATAATTGACTAAATGAACTTAATTGTAGTTTCAGTGCATAATAGTTTTAAATTCAGAGAGTAAAATTTATATTTATATGTATAATTATAAATGTGTCTAAAAACATAAGCGAATGCGCCTATAGGATATTATTTTAAAATGGAGATTAAGCTCAAGTATATTTATTTATTTACACTTCATTGTACAACACATTATAGATATATATAGAACAATACAAACATTAAAATCCTAATTGTACAATAGGCGGCCTTATCGCTTAACAGCGATTTCTTCTTTTGAATTAACAGCACGAATGCTCCTCTCAACATCACAACAGTATTGGCTTATTAATTTCTTATATTTTCACGCGTACTATACATAAATGACACAATTTTAAACTGGTTTCGCGTTTGTATTTAGTTTTATCAACATTTCGGACCCTTTACAGGTTCCGTGTTCACATGAAATTGTCTTTTAATTAAGAGTATAGCTACCCTCAAAACAATATTATTGCACATAAAATCTGGTATTAACTTACTAAATTGATGTATGCGAATGCTATTAGCCCCTTCCGAAGTGGGAAACAAAAGCAGCATCTTGTCAGGATAGGGATTTCTACAGCATTCTTTATTTTCTCTCTGGAAACACAAAATAAAATAAAATTAATAAAAGATATCTTGGTATCTTAGGTTTCACTTATCTTTCGCGTGTAGACTTTTTTTTGTTCAAATACAACTGCAATAAAAATAGCCTTATGATATCGAAAAAGACCTTTGCCTTGAGTTGGTTCTCTTATAATAACAGGTTTTTTAAAAATTAATTTATTTATTCATTTTCCTTTTAGTTTATCCAACTATTCATAATTGAAAACCCTGTAATTGGTGAACAGATAGTTTTAGAGCATTTTTTAAGGAATAAAATAAAATTGGAATAAATATTGCAGGAGACAGGGAAGATTATTAATTATATAAATTTAGTTTGACTATACCACAAGATATTTGCGTGTTCAAAAAAGCTCTTGTGAGCTTCATACAGTCGACGGGCATAGAGATATCAAAACAAAATAAATCTTGTAAAATGTTCATGTAAAATAATAGAATAATGTAAACAATGTGTCATTAGTGATAAGATGAGCGCTCTCATATCTGGTTTCCGGTACATAGGTCCTTGATCCGGAAAGTCCCTACTCAAAAGGTCCCTAGTTGTGAACATTAATACTTATAAATGAAACTGAAATCATGATGAAATCCACTTTCCAACGATTTGAGACTTCCTAGTGCAGCACAATGTTGCATCTTAGATGGGAACATTTAACGTGGAAAAATGTCGTCATGTCAAAATATTATCCAGCTTATCTTCTATGAAAGTAAAGTAAAGACATGAGTACGTTAGGACACCTATTAAAATTGGTAGCGTTATTACGACTCGTTTGAATTTTTAATGTAGGTACACTGTCATTCACTGCCGTCCATGCAGAATTTCTTTTAGCTGTGTATAATGGCCATAAGAAGATCTGCTTCAACTAAAGGAATTTTTAAGTAGACTCCTATGATATAATCTGTTGAATAGAAATAGAATCTGCCTATCGTACACTAGGTCGACATAGCCTATTTTGAACCTTATTTTCAATGCTAGAGTCTCCTTTTAATTTTTTAGCGAACAAATTTTCATTTTCAGTAAAGTATTAGGGGTAAAATATATCCACCAGTTTTTTATCTTAAAAAATATTATATATATATAATTCCTTTATTATTGAATTATTGGAACTGTCATTTGTTTTAGGTCTTTAATGTTCCTAAATAGATTTCGCTATCGAGTAATTATCATTTTTATCGGTAACTACATTAGTGATGCGACTCAAGTAGGATTATGTGACTCAAATCACTCGAGGTATTTAACTACCTTTCTCGAGTTTTCAAGACACTCGTGTAAAAAAATTGCAACGTGCTACTCGAGTGAGATTTCCCTTAGTAATTTTAAACAAATACCTATATTATATAAATAAAATACACATTAAAATAGTTTCGACATATGTTTATTTAAGTGATAAAGATTTAAAAAGTTAGCCGCATAGATAAATAAGTAAGAGTAGCGAAGTGACATCTAGTGACAAGATAATCAACTCGATTCGCTGAGATAACTCGAGTGCATAGAGGCTCGAGTGAGCTCGAGTTTTTCATTCGTGATCGAGTTTGAAAAATTCTCTTGAGTGGCTCGGCTCGAGTCGCATCACTAATTTACATTACAGCAATTTCACTTAACAAAATGTCTTCAAATAAAATAAAGTGAACTGGAAGCTCTTATCAAGAAACCTTAGCGGTGGACTCTTGTTCTAGCCCATTTCTTGATTCATTTAAAATAAAAAGTTGCCATTTTTACAAGTGTTTCTTGTTTGGAAAAGTTTGCAAATAAGAAAACAACTCCGTACATCAGAATAATAAAGCGGTCAGCTAAAAAAAGGATGAACTATAATGTT